CCTACTCTGTTCCTGCAGTGTCTTTTCGTGACCAGCTTCTGTTTGGGTTAGCATGATAGGACACAGCATAGACTTAAGCCAACTGTGTCACTTGCCTGCCTCTGCATCCAGGGATGTCACAGCAAGGAATACAGAAAAGGGACGGTCACAATCTCTTACAACAGCAGCAGCTGCTTCTGAAAAAGACTCAGTCCTCTGCAGACAGACTAGCACTTTGCCTTCAATTTTCTCCCAGTTACAATTTTCAGTTTCTTGATCAGTTTTAAGCAAGGAAAAAACCTAAGCAATTCTTGATATGCACTAGCCTGGAATAGAATTTCAGCTGGAAATAGAAGTTGGATAGAGCCTTTCTTCAGTTATGAACTGTTTTAAATAAAGTAAGGGTTTAGATCTGCATTTGGTGTTAAAAGATAAAAGTGCACTCAAATCAATGGTCACAGATTGGATTCGACCCCCCACTGCTAAGCCATTTTACTAATAATGTATTGTGAAAACAACAAAAAAAAAATTATGGGAGTGAGCAAAGTTGCTTACAGACTCAAACATTAATATTCATCAAGATCATTGATATTTATATATGCTTGATATTTCTATTTCATGCTCACACTAGGGCAGAGCTGAGAGAGCATGTACCTTCAGAATATTTAAGTGTACCATATAGGTATAATTGCAGCTCAATCAGTTATATAATATATTCAACCAAGACTCTGTATAATACTAAAGACCTATTCTGGGCATTTTATACTTCATAAGGGAAGAGAGAAATAGCAAAGACATGGCATGCCAGTAGCAAAATGGCATTAGGCAGGCAACACTACTTGAAACAAAAACACTGCTCCTTTACAAAAGACAACCAACTTATACTTCTTGACTTATAAAACCCCAACACTTGTACACAGCTCTGAGAAGGAGGAGGGGACAGCCCCACAGCTCTCTTTGTTCAGAAAAGACACTTATACATAAACCCCAGGAACACAGCTAGACTAATTTTAATCTGCAGCAAACAGTGACAAAAATACATATTCCAAAAGCAATGGACAGAGAAGCAGAGAAGCCCGACAGATGTAAGGTTAGATGAAGGCACGGTTTCTTTATCCTCAGTATCAAAGTTGTTTTCTTCTTGTTTTAACTAAACCATTGAGCCTGTTCTGGCCATTAGTAAAATGTCACCCTGAAAATGCAGATTATATGATGCTACTTGTGGTGCCTTCCCATGCTTTTCCCTTCCCCAATTTCCTAAAATAAAGCACCAAGAAAAAAAAAAAAAAGAAAAACAACGTGCGAGGCGCTCAGCCTATCAAGCCAGGAAGAACTATTTTAAGAATTAATTTGTGCCCTGAGAGATCTGTTTAAATTATCCTCCCGTGCTGTCCTAACCGAAGACTAAAGCAGTGAACTTCCAATGTCTTAAGGAGACGATGAAAATCGAAGAACTGGAGCGTACGGGCTCCTCCGCGGTCCCCCCAGGCACGGGGCTGAGCGTGGGGAGGGGAAGCTGGTGCCGAGGAGGATGGAGCTGCTGATCTGCCAGTGCGCCAGGAGCCCACGAACCTTTTCCATCCTCAGCTGGGGCTCAGAGATCGCAACCAGACTTTCCCTTCTGCCACCACTTCTTAACTATGCCTATCCTTTACAGCTGAGGGTATGTCCCCTTTTTCTGCCACCCGCTGCTTTTTTGACAGGGAAAGTTTCTACTTCATTTTGTCCTGGTAAGTGCAGTCAGGTAGGAATACCCTCTAAAAAACAGGCATGACAGAGAAAATTAAGTCTTTAACTTTCTGCCTCTATAGAAACACATACGCACCTACCAAGAGAAAGAAAATGAATCAAGTTCAGCTATGGTGTGAGCACTGCAATTTTCCCCAAAGTCAATGTGAGTTATACCTACTTACAGCTGCTTTTTGCCTCCTCCCTCTCCTTGCAAGCTTCCAAATAACT